TAACTCCATCGATAAAGCCTTACATACTCCCTGATGTCACTTTATTTTTGGTTTATGACGAGTAAGTCTAGCTGAGTACCTTCTTGTACTTAGGATTTATCATATCATGTTGTAGGTGAAGTTCGGCATGCTAAAGATAGTGACTAACCGCCGGTGGACTCGACGACTCTATATAGAGTTCTTATCTTTAGGCTTTTGTCAGAGGATATCCCATATGCTAGCAATGTATTTGAAACTTATATTATTGTAATCAGTTGAAAGCTATGTTATTTTCACTAATCGGTTTTGAAACCCAAACTTGTATTATTATCTGTGAACTTATTGTAAATATTATTTTCCGCTGCAACTCTGTGTATATGATGTGTATTTGTTTAATCGTGCGATCTTGGTTATGATGTTGATTTACCGAGGTCCTTCGTGACACTCGGCGGACTACCGGATTTATATAAGTGAAACTATGTGCGCGTCAACGTATTAAACGGGAACAACCATACTTGATCTTTTATAAATTAGACGGTTCTGTCATAGCTGGTATCAAATTAGTCACATCACGTGCAAAAGATAATGACCTCAAATGAAAAAAAACTCAAAACTATAATGTTGTAGATCTAATCAAGTGCTATAACTTTTATGTAAAAGTATCATCATTTGGCACTGAAAAAAAAGAAAAGATTTTTCGAAGGCGACAAAAGCTTGTACGCGATTAATACGATGCTGAAACTTTATATTATTTTCTGAACATCTTAGTGATCTCAAATGCAAAAACTCAAAACTATAAATTTGTAGATCACATCTAGAGCTACAACTTTCATATAGAAATTATCTCCACTTGACTCTATATAAGAAAGATATGATTTTTTTCAACGCAACAAGCGCTTGTACGCGATTAATATACTACTAAAAATTTGTTTAATTTTTTTGAGCATCTTCACGACCTTAAATGGAAAAACTAAAAACTAAAAAGTTGTAGATCTTGTCGAGAGCTACAATTTTTCTATATAAAGTATCTCCATTTGACTCCATATAACACAAATATGATTTTTCTAAGCGATTGTACGAGATTAATATACTGCTGAAATTTTATTTAATTTTTTTGAGCATCTTAATGATCTCAAATGGAAAAACTCAAAACTAAAAAGTTGTAGATCTCGTAGAGAGCTACAATTTTCATATAAAGATCATCTTCATCTAAGGTCGTATGAAAAAAATACAATTTTTCTAAAGTTGTGCCTTGCCGTGCCTGTCTTGTTGGCGTGGCGCTACAGTGCTGCCACGCCAACTGGAGTGGTACGGCAAGGATTGACATGTGAAAATCGTTGTCTAGCGTGGCAGATCGTGACCCGACTCGACGCCGAGGCCCATACCTTAGCGCGGCACGACTCCACACCGAGGCCCATACCTCAGCGCGGCTCGACTCAGCGCCGAGTCCAGCCAACCCTCCGCGCCAGACATCGGCCCAACCCTTGGCGTGCACCGGCTCAACGCTGATGCTATTATGCTCCGCGTGCGCTGACTCAACGCTGAGCGCCAAACCAAACCATAACAAAGCAGGACGAGGAGGTCGTTTACTCAACGGAACATGCCTTAGGGAATTCAAACTAAATGTAGCCTACATGACATCACCACTGATAACTACAAACATAGTTTACTCTTAGTAATGCTCCCACATGGCAAACTGAGTAGAACCTTCTCCGCAGTATCCTCCCATACTAGGTAGAGGCGCCGGTGGTGGTGGAGGAGCAGGATCTACCCATCTACCAGCTTCACCATTATTTCAAGAAAAGCCTACAATTCGTACTCGTTTGAATATCTCAAACGCCAAATTTGCTAAAAAGGCCTCCGAAGTTTGGTAAATGGATACAATGTTCCTTACATGGGTTCAAATGATACATAAGACAACACAATGAAAGGTCTAGTACATAACAACATTGTTCAATAATAAAACATGGAACTACCAAATCTAAAGCATGGAACTACCGGTCAGAAACATACAGAGTAAGCAACTTATCGTCGGAGTACCAATCCTCCACCACAACCTCGTTGCTATGGCTAGGCTTACCTGCGTTGCCCTGATCTATCTTTTGACTGTAGTAAGCGACTTCCGCTTCATCTGTGGCGTGAGACAATAATGCATTCTCCGCCGCCTTGTTCATGTGTCTAGGCACACATGCATTGCCCCGATCTGCCGAACGCCTATAGTAAGCGTCCTCCGCTTCATCTGCGGCCTCTACGGTTTGAGAGAAGAATGCGTCCTCATCCTCCTCCGCCTAGAAGCCCGCCTCTGCTAGAGCGATGAGCTCGCATAGTTTGTCAGTGTCGTCCTCATCATTCTCCACCTACAAACCCGCCTCCGGTTGAGCGATGAGATCGCTCAACCTGACAATGTTGTCCTCAGCCTCGTCCCCCTCATCGTCCAACACAATCGGAGATAGAACGCTGCGACCAACTCACATTCTGTGCTCATGTAACTTCTTTTCCACATACCTTGCACGGGCCACATCTGCAGTATGCTCCCCGCTGCACCCAATCCCTTCATGTATAAAATGTAAAAACAAGTTAGCAACGTAATTATATTATATTTAAAAGCAGGCAACGAAAATAACAAGGCTTGCAATGACTCACTGGTACACAACGAAGCAATATGGTCGTTCAAGACCTGCATCAGTACTCTTTCCTCCTCCATTGTAGACTTCCTTGCCCTCTCCTCCTCTAACGTCCTCCGTATCTCTAACCCCCATTTGCCAAGCCTAACAGCGATTGGGTTACGAATACCGCGTTGTCTAGCAAACTCACGCATGTTCTTCTTTCGCAGTTTAACAAAGTGGTCGACATAGTCAGGTCCATATTCCCTCTTTCCGTGCAATTACTTGCCTCTCCTTCAAGTCATCTAAGAACTTAGCTTGACCATCATAAGGTTCTCACTTGCATTTCCTAGTGCTCCGTTGAAACAAAAAATTACATCATAAGTATTAGCAAAAGAAAAAAAATACAATTTCATGTTTTACACGACAATAACCAACCTCATCATAGTCAACCATATGGCCGCAATAATGGCCTATTCCAGGACTAGGCCATAGTTGGATTCAACACCACATTAGCACATGATAGGAGGTGCTTTGTAAATTACCCTTTCTTTCTTCTTTTCCTTTTTCTTTGGTGGTTCTTCCGGTCATTGGTTCTTAGAACCATACAACCACTCTTTGAAACAATACTTCGCCATTGAAAACACCTAAAAAAGGTGACATTAGTACATGAGCACATATAGCTCAACATTTCAACACATACACTTTGCACTTACTTCATACTTGTTTCGACACAAACTTCAACACATTCTCAGGGTTTATCATAGCTTGAGCTCCGCAATTGCACAAAGGAGGTTCCTCGAGCCGTCTAAGTGTGGCTAAGTGCTTCTCCTCCTTTGTCATTGGCGGGGGGTTCGGGGGAGGTGGAACCCACCGCTCGAAGTGCTCACGTGGATGTCTCCCTCTCCATCAATCGTCGAAAAGGAGGTACCTTGGGTCAAACTTGTCTGCATCGTCGATCCACTGAAAGAAAAAACACCTCTCATGGTCCTGCAAAACAAACTTCCACCAAATATATTAGTAAACTACAACCAAAAATTAAGAAAATAAAGATAAGGAAGCAATTACCACATTAAAACGATTGCATGTGTAGAAGCAGCGCGCAGCTATGTCTGGATGTCTCGATTGAAAAACGTGGGCCACGAAACCACAGTCGTAGTTAGGAACAGGGAGGTCAGGAGGGACGGGGACATCTTTGCTAGACACGTCGGGGTATAATTCTCTAGGGCGACCCCATTTTCGCCATAGCTGCTCCCGACACATGTGTTGCATCTAACAAAAATGTTGTAATTAAACACCAATCAAAGGAAAAATAAATACTATAGCAAACTAACGGTGAACCATTTGCATTACAACTAACCCTAATGCAATCAATAAACAAGTAACCCTAATCCACCAATGAACAACTAACCCACCAAAGAAAACAAAGTTACTATACCACAATAAACATACATTTGAGGCCAACAATCAATTAAGACATAGTTTTCATAAATGACAACAACCAATCAAAGACTACTATCCAAAAGAAAAAAAACAAATGGAACCGAATCTAGCCAGAAGAAATGAAATAGGGGAAGGAGGAGCACCTTGGGGAAGCGTCCAAAACGTCGATCCGGCCACCCTAGACCTGCATTTAGGGTTTAGGGTTCGTGGGAAGAGAGGGGGAGACAAAAGAATGCACCAGGGAAAGGAGAGAATGGAGGAGGGAGGAAGAAGGGGGCCACGGCGCGACCTTATGATGCCAGACATCGGCGTTCAGTCGCGCTGTGCTGAGGTATGAGGTTCGGCGTTAACTATGCTCATGCCGACCAATGCGGGACCCAGTGCGACGGTAAATTCATTGACCGCAGTCAAAAGTGGCGTGGCGGTACCTCGGCGTCAACTGACAACGCGCTGAGCCTAATACCACGGCGTGGTGTTCTAACACGCTGAGCATTTGGTCTATTTATAGAAAATGTTTTGCGAGAGGGTTATTTATAAAAAAATGTTTTCAAAAAGGATTAAAATGCAAAAATTTCACGAGGTTTTTCAGGCTTTCCGCTCCCAATGGCGTTTTGGTCGCTCACTCGCTCTCACAAGTCACACAGCAGTAGGCGGTGTTGTACGTCATCGGTCAGTCAACGCTGGACCCAACCCAAACCCAAGAGAAGGGGCACCACCAGAAACACCTCAACAAAATCGTGAGCAGACTTGGGTCTTCCTCTCTGAAGCACACTTCTCGTTCTCAATCTCAACAAAACCCATGGAGGAAGCCATGGGCGAGCACACCCAGCACTCAAAAATCCTAGAGAGGGGAAAAAAAAGATCTCGTCTTTTTCTTCGTTCCCCTGCTACTCGAGCTGGTGGAGGTCATCTGGGATTGAGGAGGAGGGAAAGAGGCGAGGCGGTTAATCGAGCGGGAGGCCAACAACTGGGGGGATGGCCATGGTGGAGAGGAGGTATGGTCCCTGTGCCAGCCATGGCTTCTTCCTCCTACGGCTGCTGCTGCCGTTCTTGTTCTTCTTCTCCTTTATTGATGTGCCACCGGCCGCCGCCACCACCACCATCACCACCACGCAATCGCCTCCACTGACCGACACGCAAAAGTCCATCATGAATGATATTGCGAGTCTGGTGAACTCTGAATCCGCTTCCGCCAACACCAGGTGGAACGCTGCAGACAATCCATGCAACTGGACAGGAAACAGTTGCAGAAATTCCAGTTCTTTCTCGGCCGTCACTAGCATCAGCTTGTCAAACTATGGCCTATCCGACTCCTCCATCTTTGCCCACCTTTGCCGGCTTGACACCTTGCAGTCCCTTGACCTCTCCCAAAATTCCTTCACAAATTTGTCCGCCCAGTTCTTCGCCAATTCTTCTTGCTCCATGAAAAAAGGGTTGCAGTCACTTAATCTGAGCACCAATCAGTTGGCTAATTCGCTCAGTGATTTATCCCACTTCCCCCAGCTAGAAGTTCTTGATTTGTCCTTCAATTTCTTTGCCAGTAGAAATCTCAGTGCAGACTTGGGTTATTTTCACAAATTAAAGAGCTTCAACGCTAGTACCAATAAGTTGAGTGGTGATGTTCCTACCAGTATGGTCGGCTCTTTGCTGGAGTTGGTATTGTCTGGTAATCAACTGAGTGGTTCAATCCCTCTGGGTTTGTTTAGATATGAAAATCTTACTCTGCTAGATCTCAGCCAGAATTATCTAACTGGTCCTGTCCCAGATGAGTTCATGAGTCTCCCCAAGCTCGAGACTTTGCTTCTTTCAGGCAATAAACTGATCGGGGAAATACCAGCGAGCCTCTCAAATGTGACAACGCTGTCTAGGTTTGCAGCCAACCAGAACTATTTGACTGGTCCAATAGCCAGCTGGATTACCAAGCACGTAAGGATGTTGGATCTGAGTTACAACAATCTGAGTGGGACGATCCCCTCGGATTTCCTCTTGCATCAGGGGTTGCAGAGTGTTGATCTTACGGGCAACATGCTTAGCGGAGCTATTCCTGGCACCTTATCTCAAAGCCTCTACCGCTTGAGGCTTGGTGGAAACCAGCTTGGTGAGAACATCCCAGTGTCAGTTTGTGATACCTTGAGCATGACTTTTCTTGATTTGGATGGTAATCAGTTAATAGGAAATATACCTCCAGAGCTTGGCGGATGCAAGAGCTTATCGTTGTTGAATCTGGCATCAAATAATTTGAATGGTTCAGTGCCTGATTCCATAGGGAAGCTTGACAAACTGGTAGTGCTGAAGCTTCAAAAAAACAACCTCAGTGGTCCAATTCCAAGTACATTTTCTGATTTGAAAATCCTTAGCACATTGAATCTTAGTCAGAATTCACTCAGTGGAGAGATACCGAGTGGAATTTTCGAGCTACCAAAGCTTTCAAACTTGTATTTGCAGGGTAACAATATCAGCGGACCTATTCCGATCTCAATCAGTTCATCGAACTATCTAATCGAGCTCAATCTGGGTGATAATGCTCTGACTGGTACCATCCCAACCATGCCAACAACTGTGACTACATCTCTTCTTAATCTTAGTCATAACCATCTTAACGGGCACATTCCTTCAAACATCAACTCTTTAAGTGAATTGGAGATTCTTGATCTTTCACACAACTACCTGTCTGGTGATGTGCCATCTTCACTAGGGAGCCTGCAAAGCCTGACACTGCTGGAGCTTTCTTATAATAATCTGTCTGGGCCTGTTCCTAGATTCCGCCCAAATCAAAATTTGGATATTGATGTTGTCGGAAATCCTGGTCTTGTAAATGGTACAGAAAACAATAATGACACTCCTACTACTGGTAAGAAAAAAAGGCACTATTTCGTCATCATCATCTTCACTATTGCCGGTGCTCTTGTTGGATTATGTGTGCTTGCTGTTATTGTTATGATCTTATCAAAGAGAATATATCGTGTTGAAGAAAGGATACCTGCTGGGGAGGGTGTCGCTCAAATCACTAAGGGTGTCCTCATAACAATGAACTGCTTCCGCACCTCTGCGATTATGTTCATGAAAGAAGAGTGGGATGAATGGCGAATTATAGCTTTCCAGACTCTGAACTTCGAGGCTGCAGACATACTCCAGGGACTAAATGAAGAGAACCTTGTTGGCAGCGGTGGTTCAGGGCAGGTTTACCGCGTCACATACACCAACCGGTACAACAGGAGCATCGGGGTGGTGGCCGTGAAGCAGATACGAAGCTTTGGGTCTCTGGACGAGTTGATGAAGCATGAGTTTGAGTCCGAGGCTAGCATCCTGTGCAACATCCGGCACAACAACATTGTCAAGCTGCTGTGCTGCTTTTCTGGCACGGACTCTAAGCTCCTCGTGTATGATTACATGGACAACGGCAGCCTGGACAGATGGCTCCATGGCGATTACGTCCTCCGTGCACGGCACCCTATGGCGAGGGTGCGGCCTGTGCAGCGTGTGCCGTTGGACTGGCCAACGAGGCTCATAGTGGCTGTCGGGGCAGCGCAGGGGCTGTGCTACATGCACCACCATTGCTCGCCTCCCATCATTCACCGGGACGTCAAGACGAGCAATATCCTGCTGGACTCGGAGTTCCGGGCTAAGGTTGCGGACTTCGGGCTGGCTAGGATGCTGATGCAAGCAGGGGAACCCAACACGATGACCTGGGTAGTTGGATCATTCGGCTACATGGCTCCTGGTAAGGATCTACTTTTGGTCATTTCATGGAGTTCACTAATTTTGTCGGATTGTGTACAGTAGTGACTAAGATGGTAACTACTGTAGTCAATACCATAGGTTGAAGTCTTGTGAGGCCTAATTTTATAGTTTTTGTTGTTGAATATGTGCAGAGTATGCTTACATGAGGAAGGTGAATGAGAAAGTGGATGTTTTCGGCTTTGGTGTTGTGCTCTTGGAGCTCACAACTGACAAGAATGCCAACGATGGTGGCGATCACGGTTCCCTGGCAGAATGGGCAGGGCATCACTCCCGATCAGGGGCGAGTATCCCTGATGCTACAGACATCTGCACCAGATATGCAGGGTATGCTGACGAGATTGAGACCGTGTTCAGGCTGGGCGTGAAATGCACGGCTAACTCACCGTCCTCACGACCTACTATGGAGGATGTGCTGCAGATTTTACTCAAATGCAGCGAGCAGACGCTCAGGAAAAGCAGACTGGAGTGTACTCCGTAGCACGGAGTAGAAGCAGTTCCGTTCTTGCTGTCACAGCGAGTCAGTCGTGTGGAACAGCTTTCCAACGACAAGCAATTGCCATAAAACAGAAGAGTGACTTTTATTGCATTGTCTGAACTCTGAAGAACTAACATCTACGTATTATCTTGGTATTTTTGTTCAACAAAAGAAGACTACATTAATTCTCAGGAATGAAGTAAAAGTTCCCTCTACGTGCTGACAAACTTCTTATCACAGTTTTTCCTTTCTTTCTTTGTATCTTGATTGCTTTCCCCCTGCTAGTTACCTGCTTGTTTCTTATACTTGTACTGTTCTGTACTCCTTTTTGTCAATAAAATCATAGTAGGGGCGTGCCCCTCCTGTTCCCCGTCAAAAAAAAAAACTTCCTATCACCACTATTATGTAAAAGTGAACCCACAAATACTCTTTATACCTGTTTCCATTTTACCTACGCATGCCATTATTGAGGGATTACCTGCCACTGCTGTTGCAAAATTTAATCCAAAATACGCTTATATTTACCTGCCACGGCTGTTGCAAAAGTTAATCCAAAATACGCTTAGGACCCGTTTGGATCCTTAGAATTGAATTTATTTTAATAATCACAGTCTATTAAGTGACGGGTCATGCGCGTGGGGAGCGCGCGACCCGTCATCCTTGCCGTGCCGCGCCCTCACCTTGCGCTCGCCTCCTCCGCTGGCCCACCTCGCGCACGCGCCCACTCCCACCAGCACCCCACCTGTGCTGGAGAGTTCTTCCCTCCCTCCCCTCCGGCGGGGAGGTAGGCTTCCTCCTCCTCCCCCTTCGGGATCTGTGAGCACCAGAGATGAAGACGATGGCAGCGGTGGCTAGGGTTCCAGCGAGGAGGAGGTCGCCGGAGAGGGAGAAGAAGCCAAATCCTACGGGCTATAGAAGGGCCCAGCCGGCCGGGGGGAGGGAGGCAGGCCAGGCGGTGCGAAAGGAGGCCGGGCGGTTTAGATGGCCTGGCGGTGGTAGCGGTGGCCGGGCCAGGGAGGGGCGGGGGCGCCATGGCCGGAGCTCGGAGCTCGGCGTTGTCGGCGAGCATGGCCACGGTGGAGCTCCAGCGTGAGGGGGGAGGGGAAGAAGGCGGCCGCCGCGGGCTCTAGGGTTCACCAGCGCAGCGGGGCGGTGTCTAGCGGCGAGGGCGAGGACGAGCAAGAACGGCGGCGGGGTCGAGGTCGAGGACGAGGCACAGAGGGTGGGTCATGGGGTTAGTGTCAAGGACGAGGCGTGGAGCGAGGTCACGGCGGGAGGTTGAAGACGGGTCGCGCGATAACTGTGTCCTTTAATAACCATAATTTAGACACATATGAATTAAGCTAATATGGTTGTATATGGATTATATTTGTATATTATAATTGGCTATACAAAAGAGATACTTATGTGTTGCATTTTTACTGTAGGGAAGCGAGTTGAAGAGCGTGTTATATGATGCAAAGTAGAAATATAGAATGGTGATCTATAGAATCAATTTCCATTTCCCACCCTATGAATTTGAGATAGACTTATATATGAACTTTGGAAAGCGGTAGAATGTCAAATTTCAAGCCAAATAGCATAATTTATTAAGTAGATTTCAATTTCTCCAAATGAAATGATCCAAAAGGCCCCTTATAGAATTACCCGCCACTGTTGTTACAAAAGTTAGTCCTCAATACGCTTATATCCATTTCTCTATTTGGTACCCCCATAGCATTGTGTCAAGGAAAACAAAGCCAACTGTCTTCCTCATGCATTTAAGAGATGAAAGTTGACTTCAAGCAAGAAAGATTCATACTTGCAATTCTAATTATTCTTTAGCCAACTACAGTACAAAATGGACCATAATTCGATATTAGAGTTTAAAAGATAAATGTAGAAAAAAGCTTCTTAATGTTGGTTAAGTGATTGAATCTTTCCCTTGGAATAAAAGGATATCCAAAGCTGTGATTCAAATTAACTTTTGATGTCAAATAATATATAAAAAGGAACATAGCTCAATATGACAGTTTGAAATGTAAACATAGGAAAAATAATAAAATATATGACCTGAAAGATTTAAGGATCTATTCATATTGAGAATAATTACAAGCGTCCTTAGTAAAAAAAAAGCAATGTAACTATTTATCTCTTTCCTTGTGTACATGGGTTGCCATTTTGATGCCCACTCCAGAACAACGAGAAAGGATACTTAGTGCAGTATGAAATTATATATCCAATGGTGATAACTAGGACAAACGCAATAAAAAAGAGAAGCAAATAGATCCATACCACTACCAACATTGTCTGGACTCTGAAGAACTTTCATCTACGTATTATCTTGGTATTTTTGTTCAACAAAAAGAAGACTACATTAATTCTAAAAATTACCATGGTCATCAGAGAATGAAGTAAAAAATTCCCTCAACATGTTAACAAACTCCCTACTGCCACTGTTACGTAAAAATGAACACAGAAATAGTCTTTATACCTGTTTCCATATTAGCTATGCATGCCATTATTGAGGGGGTTAACCTGCCACTGCTGTTGCAAAAGTTTTTGATCCAAAATATGCTTATATAATTACCTGCCACGGCTGTTGCCAAAGGTAATGCAAGAGTAAAATTCACCACCGGTCATTGAAGTTGTCTAGAGGTATCATCTAGGCACCCAAAGTTTTAAAATACATTTTTTACTCTTTGAAGTTGTAACAGGTCTCAACTAGGTCCCCACGGGCGTTTAGAACCCGTTGTCCCACGTGGCATGGATCTGACAGATGGACCCACATGTCAGCGGGAATGCTCCAAATCATTTTTTTCATATGACCTCAGCTGAAGATGATTTTTTATATGAAAATTGTAGCTCTCAATGAGATCTACAACTTTGCAGTTCTGAGTTTCTTTTCATTTGAGATCTCAAATGACAAAACTAAAAACTAGGAACTTGTAGATCAAATCGATCGCTATAATTTTCGTATACAAAGTATGTTTATCCAACACCTTACAAGAAATATATGATTTTTCTAAGACGACAAGCCCTAATACGCGAGTAATATACTGTTGAAACTTTATATTTTTGTTTTGAGCATCTTAACAATCTCAAATGAAAACGAACTCAAAACTAGAAATTTGTAGATCTTATCAAAAGCTACAATTTTGATATAAAGATCATCTTCATTCGAGGTCGTATGAAAAGATACGATTGTTCTATGGTGTAGCTTTGTTGTTGATATGTAGGTCTCATTTGTTAGATCCATGCCACGCAGAATCACGGGTCGGGTCAACGCTTATTGGGACCTGGATGAGACCCATTACAACTTCAGAGAGGCAAAAACGCATTTTGAAACTTAAAGAACCTAGATACACCTTTAGATAACTTTGAGGACCATCAGTAAATTTTACTCTCTGCTAATATCCATTCCTCTATTCGGTACCAATATCATTGTCAAAGAAAATAAAGCCAACTGTCTTCTTCATGCATTTAAGAGATGAAAGTTGACTTCAAGCAAGAAAGAGATTCTTAATGTTGGTTAAGTGATTGAATCTTCTCTTGAAATAAAAAGGATATTCAAAGCTACGATTCAAATTACCTTTTGATGTCAAACAAAATATAAAAAGGTGATGGATCCTCATTAAAATTATCAGAGACACCAATTCTGGATCCTCATTAAATCCACCACTTCACCTGATTCCGTAAATAGCTTGGGGTGATGGATCCAAATCTTTAGTTGGTCATCGGCGAACTCAAGCCTCAAGGGCATTCGCGGTGACTTCTTCGACCTCTAGCAAAACGTCTTTGGTCCTTTGAGAATCTTATGTATGGTACTAGGGAATTGTTTTTCGCTCTATTTAAAATGAGTAGCATGGAATCAGTGCAGAGAGAAGCCTTCCGAAAACTAGCGTCCCTGCCACTATAGGAAAAAACCTCTAGTCACGCTTTTATAGTAACGCACACTAAAGTCGTCTCTACATGGTCATGCAATAATTTTTTTGACATGATTTCGTGAACGTGTCAGCATGACACAACAATAGTCACGCTTTTAGTGTCAAAAGGCATATGGAGAAACTTGTTTACACGATATTGAAAGCGTCTCAAACTAACACGGTGTCAGACACACTTTTATTCGTCAATAGCTTCTAGACACGTTACAAAGCATATCAGAGAGCGCTCCATAGCCAATTAAAGATGTTTTTTGACGCAATACTGAAGTCGTCTCAGAATAACACGAAGTTAGACATGGTTTAAAACGTCCTTATATTTTATACACGTGGAAAGCGTATCAATAGTCATACACATATAGTCACGTCAACATGCTTCTTGATACGATATTGAAAACATCTCAAAGCTAAGCATTTGTACTTATCACAAAGTTATATTACCATAGAAATTTATTTATTTTTTGAAATTTTAAAATAACTTTTATGATGTGTGCCAGAGCTCGATGTTAAGAATAATGGTTCTACAGCTAAACCTAAGACTAGCAAAAGTGTTACGTTATTTTTCATTGATACCTAGGATCCAACGTTATTTGCAACTAGCAAAAACTTCATAAGACATGTGATGGCATGATTGACGGCTGTACAAGAGATGGAAAACTACGACATCCAGCAGATGATAAGCTTGAGAACACTACAAGAAATGTGGGATTTGGCATGGAAACCACTAGGCTACAGTCTGGTTGCTGTTTATTATTGTAACTTTTACATGCAAACTACCGATGCACGGTCACTGGAGACCCGTCACGATCCGGCCATCGCCATGTCTTGAGTCTAAAAATCTGGAAAAAAGCAAAAAAAAAAAAAACTTCAAGAGTACTCGAACTCACTACCTAATGCCCAAGACAATAGAGAGTCGAGATAAAAATAAAGAAAAAGATAATAGAGAGTTACCTCAGCCACAAAGTAATCTTTTAAAATTCGAAGCACTTTATGTTATCATCAGGTTAAATATTCCTCAAGCACATTATCCTACGAAGGTGTCTCATTTCTCCGGCAGCGACCCAATCCTGCTGGTAGACCTGA